GCAGTCTTCAAAATAAAAATTGTAACCTTTGGTAATCAACTACATTTTTCACATACATAGACATTTTTGAAACTTTATTAAAAAAAACCTAAACCATAATTCACCACTATAGATACTTTTTGACAAAAATGAAAAATTACGACTTTGTTACCCAATGAGAAGTGTTCTAATATAGACAATGGGTCGTGTCTCGTATTATTTGTTATAATTGTATTATTCATTATTTTCACTTGACTCGCATAAATGATTTTGTTCGAAGAACATTTATATGCAGTTGTACTTCGCAGCACTTCACTTGCAATTTGCAATTTCTAGTATTATAGTATTATTAAAGTTTAAAGGTCAAGTTTGTAGATCGATATCCAGCCGTGATAACACATGAATCTATTGTAGGCATATTGGGGAGTTACAATAGATCATAGTGGGAATTTTAAGTCTGCTTGTCTATAGAGGGGATGGAATCATTTTCTAATTTTCATTTTCTCTATGATAGAGCAACCAATCAGTTGTGTTTGAGGATAATTAGACACATCGGCTGATTACCATAGGGCTATTTATTATTATAATATTCATACAGTATGGTATTACAGACTAATTATTAAATAAAAAGAAAAGATATAATATTGAACATAAAACAATTAATAAGAATACGACGGGTCCGAAAAATACAGTATGTGCTAATTATAGTTATTTTGGTTCCTATCAATGTTTTTTTTTTTTTTTTTTTTTTTTTTTTTTTTGACTATNNNNATTTGCTCAAAATGTCGCGGTTCAAAATTATAGTTGGGAATGCTGCTGACCCAGTCAATTAATTTCTGATAAATTTAAGCTCAATTGGATCATGTTGAATATTATACTTTTAAACTTTATTCTCACTATATATCAGCATACAAATGGTGAATGCCCCTATTTTTCCAGTAAGACAAAAGAAGTTTTTGATATGTTGTACATTTGATTTTTCTGAGACACAAAAAGATTTATACTTGCGTACACCATGATAATGAAAAACAGAGACTAATCTTAGCTTTGGGAATTATTTTAATTGAAAACTCGATTGATCTGAACCTTACGAAACGGGCATAGATAGCTCCCTTTACTGATTTGTATGGAAACATTGCTTAAATGGAAGTTAGCCATCATAAAGCTACTCTTGTGAGGAAGAGAGGACAGGGAATCGCAAAATAATGAATGGTAACCGTTGATGGAAGTGATATTGTGATAGCAAGGAATACCTTCGAGTAAGTTGTTGTCTCGATTATGAGACCAAGTCAAAAAGAATAAAAATATGTATCATGGGATTGCTCCCTAAGGAAAAATGCGATTGCTTGCCTTCAATGGTTTGTATTTTTGTTTGCGTACCGGTATGCCATGATACATTAATCAAAGACAGAGACTATTCATAACTTTGGGTATTATTTTAATTGAAAACTCGATTATTTTGAACCTTACAGGGAAGGAAGAGGAGGAGCGAAACGTACAGTGGCACGATTTATGAACACCTACTTCAGTTTGAACTGAAAGCAAGCACAGATAAAAACGCTACAGAAATGTTATATGTTAACTCCGCCAATGCCGGTCCCAAACCCGGATGAAAAAGTGAGGAGGGTTAGGCGTAGTGCTAGCTACCCTGCCTTGTAAAAAACACCTGGCTACAGAAACGTTAACAAGTGAACTTAGAGAAACTATCTTGGAAGAGGAAGGTTCTCCAACTAGATTTATGACGCTGAGTAGTGAAAGCCGGAAGTCTCTTGAAGCTACACAGCTGAATTCCCTTCTCTCAACCAGGAAAACAATTATTTTTGGAATTTGGAATGTCCAGACTATGTACCAGACCAGACAAACAAAGTCCTTGGCAAAGGAAGAATACACAAGGGCCAACAGAGAGGTTAAGAGAAGCATCAAGGCAGACAAGAAGTCATACATTGATCACATGGCTGAAGAAGCGGAAACTCCATCAAACAAGGGAAATATGAAAAAGCTATATGATACCACAAGAAAACTGGCGGGCAAATATGGTAAACCTGAAAGACCGGTAAAAGACAAAGCAGGTGCCAAATTTTGACAAAGACCAACAACTGAATAGATGGGCAGAACATTTTGAAGAGTTGCTCAACTGGCCACTACCACCCAATCCACCAGATATTGAACCAGCAGATTCAGACCTCAACATCAACTGTGAAAAACCAAGTAAACTTGAAATCAGAAAGGCAATCCTACGTCTAAAAAATGGTAAAGCAACAGGACCAGATGCTATTCCTGCTGAAGCTTTAAAGGCCGATATTGACACCACAACTGAGTTATTATACACATTTTTTGGAAAAATCTGGGATGAAGAAAAGGTTCCATCAGATTCGAAGGAAGGCTATCTCATTAAACTCCCAAAGAAAGGAGATCTTAGTAACTGTGCCAACTATAGAAGAATTATCCTCCTGTCAGTGCTTGGAAAAGTTTTCAACAGAGTCATCCTTGAAAGAATCAAAGAAGCAGTAGATCCTCAACTCAGAGATCAGCAAGCAGGCTTTAGAAAGAATCGATCATGTATAGATCAAATTGCAACTTTACGTATCATAATAGAACAATCCTTGGAATGGAATGCACCAGTATAAATGAACTTTGTTGACTACGAGAAGGCATTTGACAGTGTGAACAGAGAAACTCTTTGGAAACTTTTACGTCATTATGGCATACCTACCAAACTAGTCAATCTCATCAAAAATAGCTATGATGGTATACACTGACCTGGATTTTGCAGATGACCTGGCATTGCTGTCACATACTGGAATACAGATGCAAGATAAAACAACCGCACTTGCAGCCATTTCACATTCAACAGGACTCAATATACACAAAGGAAAGACA